ATATATATATATAATTTCTGTATATTTATACTTGGATATATATATATATATTTAAAAATAAAACTTTTTCCTATCAGTAATATAAGCCATTACTCACTGGCTGACATTTTTCTATCATAACTCATCTAACATAAGACAATGTCAGAGACGCTAATCAGAGGCAGATTTTGGTGTCTGAAGTGTTGTAATACCAGCGTTTCTAGCCCTCTGAGTCATGATAGCTGCTTTAACTTTAAGTACACACTTTATAAAAACATGGACATATTGTAAACTTAACCTACATATTTCTAAATATGCATAAAATGTAGAACGTCAAGAGTACTGTGAAGTGCAGGGCTTGGGCAACATCAAACTGGAGGCCTTTTGTCCACAGAGTTGTTGTTCAGAAACACTTTTTGAAGTGTGTGTACACACCACTCCCAGATCCCTTAAATTTGAAAGCCAAAGAGTTCTGCTAAGCTGTGGGGGGTGTGTGTGTTATGGATATTTTAAGACTTTCCTCCAACAAGCATTTTAAAAAGTGCAAAATAAAATAATTAAAAGCCACATCCTCATATTTATGGGGGCTATGCGCTGTTGCAGAACTGTTTTTATATTATTCCTCATCAGCACAACAGAATGTAAGTCCAGCTGTGACTGGACTATCTCCTACGCCACGTTTACTATAGCCACATGAAACAATAAACTGCCACTGTAGTTCATTACAACTCAGCCAATGGCTCAGTTAAACCCAAACATTTGCCATTTAAGCTCATTTAAGTCCCACAGATGTGGAACAGAGCTAGACCGGGTTAAACCCTAGTTACTTCAGCTTACCTAGAGTTGTGAATTGGAGTACTGAACACCTACTACATTTAACAGTGCCATTGTAAGCAGAGTTACACCTTTCTAAGCCCGTGGTTTTAGAAGGTTGTAGCTCTGCTTATGATGGCACTGTCAGAAACTGAATAACTTCATGTTCTCCACAGAATTATACAGTCAGTTAGGAAGTTTTGGCATCCTTGGAGGGCTTTTTCCCCAAGGTGCCCCAAGGAAGATGCAAGAACCTTGGCGTTCTCGCAGTATTGCACAGCCTTCATTAGATCTGTACTTCCTAAGAGATCACAGCTAGAGCCAAAAATGTGAAGTCTCTTGATGGTCTAACATGTTTGAGGCAGGACAGAGAAGAACAGAAGAGGACTAGTGCCTTGCCACGACCAGAGCTTCCCAGAATGTTCCTCTACACGGACTGGGCAGACCCTGTCTATATGCAGGGCTGCACAGAGAACAGGAGGGAAATTATGCTGTACCATATTTGCTCTTCCTGCACAAAACAGCGTCAGTCTTATGTCATGTTCTTTAAGGTACTGACTCGCAGCTCAAGCTGTTAAATCAGTAAAACCAGAGTACTTGCATGTAAGGCAAAATTAGTCCCAGAGACTAATTCAACAGAACTAAATCCGGTGACAATCTGGTGCTTTAGCTTAACTGGATTGTGCACTGGGCTGTAAAACACCTGCAATACTTCAGACATGCCTCTAGCACCATCACAGAGAGTGAGCTTGCCAACAAAGGGCAGGCCAGGAAACAACATAGCTTGGGCAAATCTGCTGTTAAACAGGAGGGTTTCCGTAACACAGGAAGGGGGACAAGACACTTCAAGTGTATAAAAATTAACAGGTTTTCTTCTTCGGTTAACTCAGGTGATTTTTTAAAAAAGTTTTGTTTTGTTCTTTGCACATATTTAGTTTAAGACATCTTGGACAAGGTGCATTCACAGCCACTTTCTCAGGTTGCTAGTTACACATAGCTCTCTTTGGATAAAAGTTGCCATTATTAGATTATAGCTCTACTGAATTAAGTAAAATTTTAAAAAAGTGTTGGGTGGCATTAAGGCTGAGAACAATCAGACTCACAACAGTTAAACAACTGAGGGTGAAGTGACATCCATTTTCATCAGTTTTTTTTTATCACCAACAGATGACAAATCTCTACATAAAAATCAGTTGTTGACATCCCTGTCTTGCACATATAGGGGCACACAGAACACAGACCAATTAGAAATTTCTCTCCAAGACTAGGGGAAGGAAATTGTTCTCAAGGCAGATGTTTGGTTTTCAATATATGCACACACCTTTGTCCCTCTGTCACCTCAGGTTAAAAAGGTCAATGAATCAACACACACACACACAAAAGAAGAAACTTGTAAAAATCTCTTTACCAAAGTGGAAAGTGAGATGAAGTATGCACCACAAGCCACAGTCCCTCTTTTGAAAGTTTAGTTCCCAGAAAAATAAAGACTGTCCCCAATCTAAAAAATGAACAAACCTATATGTCAGTCAAAATATAGTGGCTAGTAGCCTAGACAGCAGCCATCCAGGCTATGGGATTTGGGTCCTATAAGTAGATATGATGCAAACAACATAGGAATACTGTTCTGTGTACATAGTGCATGTACCACTTTGCGGATACCGACAGTAAACAAGATTGTAATACTAAGTTTGTGCGTTTTCTTCCAAGAAGCAGAGAGATGTCTCCAGCTAGCGCAAGAGCTGTTGTGAAGAGGTCATGAGAGGCTGCCACAGAAGGGATTAGAACTCTGTGCTTTTCAGTATCCCATAGGCACTATACAGCTTGGAGAGAAGCTCCTTCTTCTCCTGCTCTGGCAAGAAGCTAGACTTGGCTGCATTTATGTTCTGCAAACAGAAAAAGAACATGCAAGCTAAACGTGACTTTATTCCAGAAAGTATCAACTTGCACTAGTATTTCTGCAGGCACAAAGCCTCCATGAGCTACTGAAGCACACAAACAGAGTTGAAATAATGTATAACTGTGCTGTTTCTAAGTCTATATTTTCACCCTTTTTGTTGTTTTAAAGGAAAGCAATAGCCTTTAGAAACAGATTTTTAAGGTCCGAGAACAAGGCTCCTTAGGTCATGGTGAAGTGTTCTTTTAAAGAGAAAAATGGAATTCTTTAACTGCCAGAACTTGCATGGCATTAAATCTCTAAAACTTATTAGTGGAAGGGCAATACTAACACTACTATATTAAAGAAGCATCTGATCAAAGTCTGAGTTCAGTGGCACCTTTTAAGACCAACAAAGTTTTATTCTGGGTATAAGCTTTTGTGTGCATGCACACTTCCTCAGATACACTGAAACAGAAGTCACCAACCTTTACATATAGGTAATGGGGTAAGGAGAATGTTGCCAGGAACAGCCAATTAGAGTCAATTTGCATAAGCAACTGAGCAGTAAATATAGCTAAGACTGGATAAAGGCGATTGGTAAGACCTGTGAATAGGAGCAAATTAGCATACAGTGTACTAAAGTTAACAAACAAATGTGAGAACTGTATGATGTTAGTATGTGTACTGAGATAAGAAATCAATGTCTCTGTTAAGCCCTGGGGGTTCCAGTGTCCTTAGTGTTGTGATAACTTGTAACTCAGCAATCTCCTGTTCTAGTGTTTCTGAAGTTCCTTCGCTATAAAACAGCTAAAGAATCAGAAATCGCTGCTGGGTGGAACGAAAGCTGGAAGGATCAGGAATCTTTACATGGATTTCACGTAATCCTTGCACTGATCCAACCCAGTAAAAGTCAATAATTCAAGGACTGAGCCAGTGAATTTCCATGTCTCCACTCATTCAGCTCCATTTTCCTGCTGTAGAAAGGCCTTGGTGGTGGTGGAAGTCTTGGGGTCAGATCTTCCATTCTTCCAGAGAGGCCTTTTCAAATGACCTCTAAGACTAACAAAGGATTAATGGATACAAATCTGACATCAAGAATCACAAAACTGGGAAACCTGTAGGAAAACACTTCAACCTTTCAAGGCATTCAATGGGGGACCTCAAAGTAGCTGTTTTATTGCAAAGTAACTTCAGAAACACTAGAACAGGAGATTGCCGAGTTACAAGTTATTACAACACTCAGGACAGCTACATGACTAGGGTATTACCTGCTCCCACAATGAGAGCTACCCCACATCTGTACTCAGACATCCGAAGGCATGGGGACAGTAAAGAGGCAACCATTGATGTACGCTGCAGATGTTGCAGACTGTTAAGACAGTGGGTATACAATTATGTAAGAAGCTATCACGTTTTGTACAGTTTTTCACCATCTGCCTTAGTACATTTCTGTGCTTTTTGTCCTTGAAAACCACATGAGAAACTGATGCACATCATCCCATGCCCTATCTCTAGTAAGGATTCCACTTCCTGGTTACATCATTTTAAAGGAGGAATACTCTTACATTTAAATTTAGGGGTTGATGGTGAAAGCATTTATTTAAGCCTCCTTTTTTTCCCCTTTGCCACGGATACCTAAAGCGAGTGACAAACGGAAATTTAAAACAAACAATACAATTAAAACCAGAAGCCATCAGCTTAAGGCACTGATGGTCACAGATCCTTCTGCCTTCCCCTTCCAGCCAGTTTTGACATTTGGGGAATTCTCCCTAGGTTGTGGATCCACATGGCATAATAGCCACAAACGTCAAAGGGCTGCAGGTTGGAGGGGGCAAAAATGTTCCCTCCAGTCTCTTGCATGAATGGAGCTCCACAGATAGAGAAGGAAGAAGGGGAACAATTTCACCCCTTTCCCTTCCCTTCCCTTCCCTACTACAGACTCTTAAACTAGTGTGGCTATTATTCTGCACAGGTCCTGTAACCCCGGGAATAACCGTTCCAAGGGGAACAAGCTCAAACCTACTTACCACCCTCTGGAATTCCTGCTCAGTGAAGCCCATGGAGTCCTTTGCTATTTTGTAGTCTGTGTGAATTGTGGAGTTAAAAATGAGTGGGTCATCCGTGTTCAAGGAATAATTTGCACCATCCTTCATAAACCTGGAAAATCAGAATTGAAACTGGGACAGTTTTAAAGCAGACTTACACCCTGTATTTTTCCACAAAGTAAAAATATTTTGAGTTGTTTGCATATTCGTATCTAGCTACACAATTTCCACCAAGCTATAGGATGAAGTGCATAACTGCATGTTCCTTTTCTTTTTTATAAGAACAGATAGCTAAAACCTCAGGGAATGCTTCAAAGCAAAATCAGGAGCAAGACAGCTAAGACAGACACAGCAATTTGGGGCTTAAGTCCAATGGCTCTCAATGACAAAGACCGGATAGGAACAAAAATATATTTTATTCTCCCCCCCCCCCAAATATATGGAGCCGCATTTCTCTGTATTACTTAATCCATTTCAGCAGTCAAGGGGGAAAAAATCAAGACATATTGAGATGACTAGGTACACTTTGCTTCATGTTATTGAACAATAATGCAAATATAAATAAGTGGAATGCAAGATGCTTTTATTTTAGATATTTATACCCTGCTTTAATCCCCGGTGGGAACCAAAAACAGCTTACAACATCATTCTCCCTTTCTCCATTTTATTCTCACAATAACCCGGTGAAGTAGGTTAGGCTGAGAGAGAGTTAGTGGCCCTAGGTCACTCAGCAAGCTTCCACAGCAGATGGGCCATTTGAACCTGGGTCACCCTAGATTCTAGACACTAACCACTACACAATTCTGGCACTATATAGAAAATATAAGGAATTCAACAACTTACCTCACTACAGGATGATCAGCAAAGCTGTTTTTACATGCTCCAGTGAGATAACTAGACCAAGGGCATACCTGTATGTTGGCCATGTTAAAAAAAAATCAAAGTCAAAGTCCACTTTGAGGACACGACTCTGCCCTTATAAAGCAGCTTATAACTTTGCTGAAGACAATTCTCTCATTTATAACTCCTAACATTCATCCTTTCCAAATATACCAACCTCTCTTCCTTACCCATGGAAGAGGGCATTTGTCAAGGCACCATGATGTATAAAATTGTGAGCATCGTCATCACAGTCATTCCAACACAGCTATGAAAACAGGATTAGGCAGTACATGCACAATTGGCTCCCACAGGCTTGCCAAATGGGATCAATTGTGCCTATTCAAGAATTATTTGGGGAGAAAGGACACCACACCAAAGCCACTCCTGCAGCAGCACAGACTCTGCAGTCAACTGTGAGGTGAGTGTGCCAAAGAGAAGGTCACACATCAGGATATGTTCTTTGTATAGCTGCCCCAACGTTTTAAGCCAATTCTTTCAGAGTTTATCTAGAATTTCTCAGGTGGAAAGGGGAAGAAGGAGAATGACATATGGCACTTTCAGTGTTCTCTCTAAACTGAGTTAATGTGAGCTAGCTCACAGTTTTATAGCCTCTGGCTCACACATTTTTGTCTTAGCTCAGGAAGCATGGCTCCAGAGCAAACTAATTTATGCAGCAGCCAAATCGCTCGCTCACAACTTTAATGCCAGTAGCTCAAAAAGTAGAACTTTTGCTCACAAGACTCCACAGCTTAGAGGGAGCATTGGGCACTTCCTGTCTGAATAAACGGTTTAAGCCTTAATCTTGCTTAGCAATGCCCCCCACTCCCAAGTAAATGCACAGAGATATCAGCACTACCTGCTTTTCTATATTCAAAAGAATGGAGATCCTTCATATTTAGGACAATATGCTTATTGCATGTTTGAGGAAAATGTGGCAAATAACATCAGGAAGCCACAGTAACCTCCCCTGGGGTTGTGCAATAGGGAGAGAGGGTTGAGTCACGCGGGATCCTTGGGCGTGGCCCATGTATTAAGTGTTTTAAATTGTTTTATTGTTGTTTTATCGCACTGAGTGCCATACTGCTGTAAGCCGCCCTGAGCCCGCAAATGCGGGGAGGGCGGGGTATAAATAATATTAAAATAAATAAATAAATAAATAAATGAGGCATCAGAGTTGTATTGTGCATATCTCCTTGCATAGCTGATATGTAGCCGGAATGAAATACCAAGGAGTTTGTTTTCAAATAAAGCCAAAATTTCTCAGCAATACAGAACAAGATCTTCTCCACTGTCAGAAAAAACTATGATAATCTATCCAGGGCATTGTGCTACAATATAACTCTACTGGGAACTGTTTTTGTATACATATAGTCTGTCTACAGAGATGCCACCCTGTAAGATATTACCTCAAAATGCATGTTTTGTTTCAACAGCTGCTTATAGAGAGAGTCATCTTCCAAGACATGGTAGCCATGACCTATACGCTCTGCCTTTAAGATGTGGATTGCCTAGAAGACACAAAACAAACCAACCGGGTGTTTATTGATTATGTTACTCTGAGCAGGCAGTGTCCTTCACCCCCCTCTGAGAGACTTATTCTGCCACAAGAAGTTAACACAAAAGCTACATCTGTGAACATCAAATCAAACATAGGTGGTATTACTCAAACTATGTAATATTTATGAAAACCATACTGTTCTATTAGTCACAGTACAGGCATGGGCATCTGAAAAGTATGCAGACGGAGAGTGATTTCAGCAAAGCGTACTTTATTCGATCAGGAACAAAACAGCTTTTGCCGGCTCGCAGGCTGGCTTATATTCCCTGTGAAACCGCCACCCATAACACCCCACCCCCACTTCCCAATAGGTTATTTACAGGGGCCGAGAGTTCCATAGGCTCTCGGCCGGGACCTAGCACCCTGATTGGTGCGGGCTAGGATCCGCATAGTCTATTGTCTCTAAGAGCAAAGCTCAACGTTTGTGCTTGACCGCGTGGAGCCCTAGCCAGCCACGCGGTCTGACTGGATATATTACAGCATCTATAAAGCAGAACATACCATAAGGAAAGACAGATTAGGTTTAGATGAAGACAGAGTGAAAACTGGTAGAAATCTGGGATATGCAGATGACATCACATTACTGGCAGAAAACAGTGAACACCTGAAATGGCTACTGATGAAGGTTAAAGCAAAAAGCCCTGAAGCAGGATTACAACTGAACATCAAGAAGACAAAAGTAATGACTACAGAGGAATCACACAACTTTTAAGGCTGACAATGAAGAAACTTAAATTGTTAAAAGATTTTGTATTCCTCGGTTCAATCATCAACCAAAAGTGAGACTACCACCAAGAAATCAGAAGGAGATTGAGGGCAGCCATGAAGGAACGAGAAAAGATCCTTAAGTGTAAGGATGTGTTGCTGGCAACCAAGATCAAGACAATTTATACCACAGTATTCCTCATTACTATGTACGGGATAATGAAGAAAGCTGATGGGAAGAATGGAGGGTTTTATGGATACCATGGACAACCAAAAAGAAAAGTAAGTAGGTTCTAGATTATTTCAAGCCTGAATACTCCCTAGAAGCTACAATGGCTAAACTGAGGCTATCAGACTTTGGTCACAGAAGACAAGACTCACTAGAAAAGACAACAATGCAGAGGCAGGCAATGGCAAACCACCTCTGAACATCTTTTGCCTTGAAAACCCTACAAAGTCACCATCAATCAGCTGTGACTTGCCAAGAACAAAAAAGCCTTGGGGCCAGGGTACTCAAAGGGCCATCTCCTCTTCAGCCTTCCAGCCCTGCTTTCTGTGCTCCCACCTACAGAGGCGAGTTCAATGGTGACCAGAGAGAGAGGGCTTTTTCTGTGGTGGCACCTTGCCCTAGGAATGCCCTCCCCCTTGAAATTCACCTGGCACCTACTTTAGATTTGTTATAGCTGTAGCCATTAAGTCACAACTGACTTATGGCAACACCGTAGGGTTTTCAAGTCAGGAGACTTCCAGAGGTGGTTTGCCATTGCTTGCCTCTGCATCACGACCCTGGTATTCCTTGGCAGTCTCCTATCCAAGTACTAGCCAGGCCAAACCCTACTTAGCTTCCAAGATCTCAAGGTCCGATGCAATCGGGCTATCCAGGCCAGGGCACCCTTTAGATATCAGGTGAAAACATTTCTTTTGACCCAGACTTTTAACTGTATGGTTCCCATCTTTAAAACTGTTTTAATGGTCTGCTTCCAGTCTAAGAACAGTTTTATGAATATCATTTTAGGCTGCTGGATGTTTTTATGCCCCTGGCTTTTTATTATTAATAATTTCTTACACTGTTTCTATGATTTAATTTTTGTAATATTTTGAACTGTCTCCAGCAGGCCTCCAGGGAGATGGCATATAAAATTTCAAGCTAAAAAAAACTAAATAATTACAATGCCTGTTGAGACTGATTTTGCAATGACAACAGTTTAGTGCAAGACTTCCATCAAATTATGAAATCTTGCTCCAAGCAGAGGAAGTTAAGCCATTAATACATATTGTCTCCTTAGCATGCTAGTGCTGTCAACTTCCAGTCCAAAATATAATACTGTCTATAAGAACAACCATCATTTCCGTAAGGTCTATGTTTGCATCCCCCCCCCCAATAATTCCCAGCTTTGTAGTGGAAAGGCCTCAACAAATGCATAAATCATGTCTGCACACTCCCTGAGAGTTTGCCAGTTTTTTCTCAGCAGCCCTTCTCACCTTAATGGAATACTGCTCCAAAAGCATCCCCTGACATTCAGGAAAGTAAGAGGAAGAGTGTTTTGGAAGAGGCTTGGAGAAAGAATGCCACTAGAAAGAGGGAAACTAAAAAAAACCCTGTGCATACCCGTTATGTATGCGGACCACCACCAGGGGTCCGCGGCGAAAGTAAGGACCTTGGTTCCTAAACACAAAGGGGACCTGGGATCCTAGACCACCTTGTGTCCACCAATAGGCCCTCTGGCGGGAAATTCAAACCCTCCAATGGGACCCTGGGTGTGCAGGGTGGAGTGTATATAGTTGGCCCTTGCAGGGCCAGTTTTTCAGTCTTGTGTGTGACGTATACGATAAACGCGTCTGAATGCATGTCGTAGTCAGAGTCTACATGCGGCAAACCCAGTACTTTACAATACCGTTTTGGATTCTGACTCAAAGTTTCTAATAGGTATGTCTTTGTTAGAAACTGCATTCACAGAATGGGACAGGAATGGAGGTGGGGATTAAGGGTTATCAGTAAGCACAGCTGGGAAAAGAACTCCAAGAAAGAGAACAGGGAGATGTGAAAACGAAGACGACTCTCCAATCAGACCCTGAGACCTGACGTTACAGAGAACAAACAGGCACAAGCTTGGATCCCAGGGTGCTGTTCTGTTGATGCAACAACAGTTCCCCCCAACAGAACAGAGTTTTCATTTGCAGAAGGAAGGTTGATTTTTGCTGATTTCCTCTCTCCTGCTGCAGACTCCCACTTTGCCCCCCACTCTATTCCTGGGGAATCCACTGAACTGCAGTGCCACATTTTAGGGGGACACAGAAAGCTGCAGAGAGGGAGGGGGAGGCAGGGAATTTGCCTTCTTCAAGTGCAATTCTGCTTGGGCTGCTCAGAGCCCGAGCTACGGTTTTCTTTTTTAAACCTCTTATTTTATAGACAGATTGACTAGAAACTGGTGTTCTTTTTAATTAGCATTCTCAGCATTCTAATGGATGTTAGCAGTTTCCATTGGGGAAGAAAACTGCTATAATTTGATATACCTTGGATGTAATCTTATGGCATTTTCAGTTAGATCTATTTTCAGAGTTTTGTGGTGCAGTTTTTACCTCTTTGATGACCTGGGGTGGTCCAGCTTCACCAGCATGAACAGTCCGATGAATGCCACATCTTTCAGCTTCCTGGATAAAACAAAAAATAGAAGGCCACACCATCAGAGGATTGTAAATGGCAGCAAGTGGCAAATGTCAGAAGAAAACAGGTTTCTACGGGACAGTATTTGCTATCTTAACTACTTGGCTACAGGGGTGCTCTCTCTCCCAAAGAGTGAAAGCAACTGTATTATAAAAATATAATGCAAAGTTACAGATGCCAATCTCTTGCAATTTCAGCAGGGCTGGAGGAGGGAAAAAGCACCCCAAAACCAATAGCTGTTATTCATAAAAAGCCACTTTCAGGGAGGAAACTTAGGAAACTGCTTGGTACAGGAACAAGTTGACTGACCAACTGACAATTAATGAATCCCCCACCCAAAAGACATGCATGATTCCTATATCATATATACAACTGGATGCATGCATATTGACACAAATGGTCCGCCAAGTGCCAAGAATATGCTACTTCATCAATTGATACCATTCGCATATCTAGAAGCTGACAAAGGTCAATGAGCAAAACTACTCCGATTAAGGAATGACTTGATAAGGAGTTATAATAGGAGGCTTTATAGTTGTGACACTAATATGAAGCAATCTAAACAGTCACAGGGCTTCACGCTGGATGTATAATAGAGAGCAACACTGAGATCTGGAGTCTCCCATTAAGCCTAGAACTTGTAGCTCCAATCCCTCATCTTCTAGTCCCACACTCACTTTCATGCGTTCTAACACACTGTGACGAAGATTCTCCTTTACTGACAGACATAGGAATAATTGTGGCCAAGTGCAAGGTGATGAACATTGGAGCCAAAAATCCTAAATATAAATACACATTGATGGGGTCTGAACTGGCAGAGACTGACCAAGAGAGAGATCTTGGAGTTGTAGTAGATAACTCACTGAAAATGTTGAGACAGTGTGTGACTGCAATAAAAAAGCCCAATGCTATGCTGGGGATTATTAGGAAGGGTATTGAAAACAGATCAGCCAATATCATAATGCCCCTATATAAATCAATGGTGCGACCTCATTTGGAATACTGTGTGCAGTTCTGGTCACCACACCTTAAAAAGGATATTATAGCTTTGGAAAAAGTGCAGAAAAGGCCAACTCGAATGATAAAAGGGTTGGAACACTTTCCCTATGAGGAAAGGTTAAAGCGCTTAGGGCTCTTTAGCGTGGAGAAACGACAACTGAGGGGTGACATGATTGAGGTTTATAAGATTATGCATGGGATAGAGCAGGTAGGGAAAAGAGGTACTTTCTCCC